CAAAAGGAGGAGGCTGCAATGCTTGGTAAGAAATGTACGCATTATCCTGCCCATGTAATTGTAACCCCTCTGTACAGTATGTTCACAAATAAAATAAATTAAAAAAAAAAGAACTACACATACTTTTACATAGTTGTGAATACAAAGAAAAATAAAAAGCACGTATGAGAATAGTGCTACTTCTTGGGAGGGAAGAGGACTTAAAATCTGTGAGTGGTAGAAGATTCTTGTTTGTTTTACTTACTATTTTCCTGTATTGCTTGTAAGTTTCATAGTCATGCATTGCTTTACAATTTCGAAATGATTATTCTCTCTTTAAAGCAATTTAGTACAAAGGATAAAATAAAATATACTATATTCACAATAAAATTCCTGTACAGAATGTAGTTCTGCTGAAGGTCTTTCAAGTTCCTGAATACATATTTAAGCTCTGCCACATGCTATCCATGCTTAAAATCAAGTTCCATTGTAAGAACCTTTTAAAATAAGTCAAGACAGAAATACACTAAACCAATAGTTTTAATAACTCATCACTATGAATCAGTGTTTTCCCCATTTCTGGTATGGTTTAGGTTCTTTTTTTTTTGGTTAATGGATTTAGATTTGTAATATAAACTTTTCCAATTCCATTCAAAATTATTATTCAATATTTTCACAGTCTACTTTTTGTTGTTGTCAGTTGTGGGGCTTGAATTCTGGGCCTGGGCATTATCCCTCAGCTCTTCAGCTCAAGGCCAGCATTCTACCACTTGACTTGAGCCACAGCACCACTTCTGGTTTTCTGACGGTTTATCAGAGATAAGAATCTCATGGACTTTCCTGCCCAGGCTGACTTTGAACCATGATCCTCAGATCTCAGCCTCCTGAGTAGCTAGGATTACAGGTGTGAGCCCCTGTGCCTGGCTCTCTAGTTTTTGTAAGGTACACTAGTTTAAGTTTGCAAGTGATATACCTATTACAAGTTGCTTAATAAATTTTACTACTGTAAATTCTTCATTATTCATAAACCATTTAACATTATTTACTCTTATTGTTATTAATTATCTTGGCATCAAAATAGGACCCACGTTAATTATATCACTAATTAGTTTAAAAGATTTTCACAATAAATAAAAAAAAAGATTTCTCAATACTTTCCTGGATAGAGACTACTAAAGAGCTACTTCTCCTTTTTTTCTTCTTCCCCTTTGTAGTACTGGTGCTGGGATGGAACCTAGGGTCTTACACATGCTAGTCAAATGCTCTACACCATGGTTACACCCCCAGCCTTTGCTTCTATTATCTTCAGGAGCTAGATTCTAAATAGTGCCACTTACCCAGGAGGGTGTAAGAGAGCTAAAATCACCCCAAAGGCCTAGAGTCATTCTTGTATTCAGTCAATGAGTCAGGTGCTTTTAGAGTAAATGACAGTAAAGAGGGCTATTTTTTTTCCCCTTTTTGTTGGCTGTGTGGCTTGAACTCAGGGCCTGAGTGCCTGAGCTTTTATGCTCAAGACTAGTACTCTACCACTTTGAGTCACAGTGACACTTCTGGTTTTCTGGCGGTTAACTGAAGAGTCTCTAGGACTTTGCTGTCTAGGCTGGCTTTGAACTATGATACTCAGATCTCAGCCTGCTGAGTAGCTGGGATTATAAGTATGAGCCACCAACACCTGGCAAGAGAGCTAACATTTGAAGAAAAAAAAAGAAAAGCCAAAACATCAGGAGGAATATCATTTAAGAATATACATGCATCCACAATCACATTTACTCAGTAATTAAATGTATACCCACAGTATCTTATGTGGGCAGGAGAGCTCTTAGTTTGAGGAGTAGAAGAGCTGCTGATATGAGAGTAACAGCCAAGTTTCTGATAACTCTGTTCCTCCTCTTCTTCCACTGGAGTCCCACTTGCATATGGGAACATTATTCTATGGGGCTCAAGTACATGTTGCCTAGGTTTGTTGACCAGAACAAACTTGTCCAGCCATGCCTAGTTCATGGATGAGCAAATGTCCAGGGGTTGCTCTCCTCAGCAGTCCTTTGAGGGAATGGTCAAATGGGAAGGACAGGCTCCTAAGAATTTGTGCACCATAGGACTTTAGTTTCAACTGATGCTCCTAACCTCCCTGGGGCAGGCAAATAGTTCAAGCCAAGACACCAACAAGACATTCAAAGAAAATGAAAAGATAGTCCTCCTGGTCCCCTCTTCCAGCACCTTATACTTTCTAAAGGGGCAAAATACACACCCGCCTTGATTCCACGTAAGATGTAAGCATTTGTAAGCAAAATTATCTTTAACGGTAAGGCTTAAAAGGGTGGATTTTGAGAGCCTCTTGCAAACTCTACGTTTGAATACTGAATAATAAGCACAGTTGTTGGTCTTTTTAAAAACAATAATACAATAGTTTTAAGTACTTTTCATTTTAACACAGACTGGTAAGAAACTTTAAGTACACATGAACAAAAACAACTATTTTATGTACTAGGCCCATTTACCAAAAGAAGTACCAGCTATAGCAGTAATCTAAGCAATTAAAAGATGATACTGTGTGCTACTAATTTTAACCATGTTCTGGTAAGTAAAAGTCACTACACTTCATGCTATGATCACAAGTAAGGAAATCAATTAATTTGCTTTGTTTTATACAGTCTATGAAATAATTTGGAGTCATGGAAATAGAGATGTTTTCATCTTGAAAAAGCCCCAATGCTAAAATCTCCGTGTCTTACCAGTGATGTTGATAATTCAGTAACATGCTCTTTTTCAAGAAATCTAACTTTTGTTTGTCTTCAGCTTTCTCTGTATGGTATGTTTTCGTACAAACAAGCTTACAGGTTTCCACCTTGTTAAACATAAACTGTATAAAAAAAAGGTAAAAGGTACATTAGGAAAAATATTTAGATTCTTAAAGGTATGATAAAGTATTAGTACATCAATATCGGTAATACACATTTTAAAACCCTTCACAGATCAAATTTAAATTTCAATCTTACTGCTTCTCCAAAAAATTCAAGTCATCACATCTCTTTCCATAAGCTTTTCATTTTTTTTCCCTCTCTCTCTTTTTTTTGTTGGTCGTGGGGGCTGAACTCTGGGCCTGGGCTCTGTTCCTCAGATCTTCAGCTCAAGGCAAGTGCCCTACCACTTGAGCCACAGTGCCACTTCCGGCTTCTTATGTAGTACTGAGGAATTGAACCCAGGGCCTCATGCATGAGAGGCAAGCACTCTACCCCTGAGCCAACTTCCCAGCCAGTTTTTCATTTTAATAATTTCAGTCTCCCTTTTTTTTTTCCTTGTGATTATCACTTAGAACAAGTTGAGAGCTGGAGAAAATTCACTTAATCACAACGTACTACAGCCTCTTTCTATGTTTAGTTGGGAATTTTAAATCCTCTTTAGTTATGGGTTTATTGTATTTAATTAATGATATGAAAATGCTATTAACTCTCAAGGGAATCAAATTTTCCTTATAAAACCCAAACCCAGCATTGTCTTACTTGAATATATTCAAGTAAAATAAGACAAAATGTATTTAGGAAAATGTTTTATTGCAATTTTAACTACTGTAGATTTAAAACTTTGTAGAGTGGGCTGGGAAGGTGGCTCAGTGATAGAGTGTTTGCTTTGCATGCATGAGACCCTGGGTTCGATTTCTCAGCACCACATCAACAGAAAAGGCCAGAAATGGCCCTGTGTCTCCAGTGATAGAGTGCTAATCTTGAGCTGAAGAACACAAGGACAGTGCCCAGGCCCAGAGTTCAGGCCCCCACGACCAACAAAAAACAAAAAAACAACCCCCCCCCAACACAAAACAAAACCCTCTGTGGAGTAATTCTGTGGCTGTCATTAAATCAAATATCAATCTTTACTCAGACCTTGGTACAAACTCTGGCAAAAATGGGTTTAGTGATTCTTTTTAAATTCATTGACTTAAACATCTGCAAAACACCTAGTATGTTAACTGACATTTATGAAATGGTAATTTTATTACGTGTCTTATTAACAAATGTGAGCTGGACATGGTGGTACACATTAGTAACCTCAGCTACTTGGGAGTAGATCAGAATGAGGCTGACCCGAGGAAAGTTAACTTAAGATCCTACTTGAAAAAAATAAACTTTAAGACCAAAAGGACTGAGAATGTGGCTCAAGTAATTATCAAGTAGGCCTTGAATCTTTCACTGTTCCTCACTCCTTTAATGGACTTTCTTCCCTCCTTGAAAGATTTTCTTTTATGGAGGAGGAGGATGGTACTGGGGCTTGAACTCAGGATCTCAAACTCTCTCTTGGCTTTTTTATTCATGGCTGGTGCTCCAGCAGTTCTACTTAGTTAGTTATTTGGAGATAGGAGTCTCTCAGATTTATCTATCCAGACTGGCTCCAAAATGAGATCCTCAGATCTGTCTCCTGAGTAGCCAGAATGATCAGTATGAGCAATCAGCAACTTATTCCATGAGGTCTTTTGATCTTCTCTCAATTTGCTGGACTAATTTGTCAAAACCTAAAGGCTTAAGCCATTATCAGGTCCTACATGTAAATGGCTGTGAAATCTCCTAACTGGACCCTTAGCTTTTCTTTTGGAACTACCACAATCCATCCATAACATTCGTTCTCTTTTATCAGAGCGACGCTGAAAAAAAACAAAACCTTCACTCTTACTCAGATGTGAACACAGAAATGCCTTTTCTGTCTCCTTCACTGCTGAGGATTGGACCTCGGGGGCCTTGGAAACATGAGGCAAACACTCTACCACTGAGATGTATTCCTAGTCCAAGGCCAAAGTATTCATATTGGCCTTTAGTCATTCTATGACATGGTCCTTTTATTTTTTTGCCCTCATCTACAAGTCTCTATGTCCTCATCTGCCCAAGTTGTACTGACTTTTTTTTATTTCTTCAACACACCAGGTGAGCTCATACCTTGAGACCTTGGCATTTGCCACTCTCCTTACCTGGAACACCTTTCCCCAGGTGTTCACAGGTTTATTCTCCTATTACTCTCAAGTCTTTTATTCAAATGTCACCTTCTCAGTAAGACTTTAAATTTACATTTTTAAATGTCATCTTTCCTGGTAAGCCTCTTTAAAAATGCAAATTCCATGTCTACTTCCCCTGATTTATTTTCAGTAGTTCTTTCAACAGTCACTATTCTAAGTTTGGGTTGTCTGTTTCCTTTTCCCATTAAGAACAAAACACTGACAACACAGATTCTTGCCTATTGCATCCACATGTACAATTGTGCTTGCCACACAAAAGATATCAAAAAATGTGTTAACTGAGTGAATGAATGGTTAAACTTGAGATTTTTTTTGATTCTGCTAAGACGTGGCCCCAGTTTCACATAATATATATTACTTTTTTTGTTTTACTAAAACAAAGATAAAAATATGACAACCTAGATTTGGGGTTTTGTTTTGTTGCTGGTTGTTACTATTATTTTTCTGCAGATCTAAAATAATGTAAAAGTCATTGAAAATAAGACAGAATTACAAATGAGATAAAAATATTGCTCAGTACATCTATGGCTAGTTTAGAAAGAAAAACCTGATCTCTCAGTCCATCTTATGACTTGGTCTTAAGAGTGTGTATTCTGTTCCTTTAAGATTGAGAATTAAAGAATTTAACATCAACTTTGATCCTAAAATTTTCGGTGCAACTTGGGGAAAATGTTAGATGCATTATCTTTCTCCATTTATAGACACACCTTCTGTTTTTCTTTCTACACAGTCCTAACTTTGGCAAACTATTAGACATGTATCTTCCTCCATTTTAAAGCATGCCTTCTGCTCAAAATCCTAAGGACAAGGGATTAAAATGAGAGAGTCATGGGTATGTATAAGCATAGTCTTTCCACATAAACAGAAATGCCCAGAATGATGTCCCACTATGGGCACTAATCTGCCTCTGGCAACTGCCCTGAAGGATAAGAGTTCACATATGGGTTTGAGTATTTTGTGGATTCATTCCTGCTTACTGTGGATATGGGCTGTATTGCAGATATGGGCTGTATGTGTGTGCCGCTAGCGACCCCTGCTGTTTTTCTTCATGTCACTGAACTTCATTATTGAGGTTGCTGAAAATTCTCAAGGCCAACACATAAACAGACAGGACTAAGAGACTACTAGAGTATTTGACTTGATTGTACAATTTAATAAATATGCCTGAAAATCACTCTTTGTTGGTTGTGGGTCTCGAACTCTGGACCTGGGTGCTGTCCCTGAGCTCTTCAGCTCAAGGCAAGTGCTCTATCACTTAAGCCACAGAGCTACTTCCAGTTTTCTTGTGGTTAAGTGGCGGTAAGAGTCTCATGTATTCACAATAAAAATTTAAAAAAAAGAGTCTCACGTATGTTCCTGCCCGATCTGGCTTTGAACCCCGATCCTAATATCTCAGCTTTCTGAGTAGCTAGGATTACAGGCGTGAGCCACCAGCACCTGGCAAAAATCATTTCTATAAAAAGAATGCAACAACCTTGAAATTGCTCTCTCAAAATATCACAAGGAGATGTTCCAAACTTAACATGTTGCCTGCTCCAGATACTGACTTCATTCCTCATGATTAGGCCTTCAATTCTACTGTCTTTTGAAAACATTTAAGACTACTAACATTTTCAGAATGGAAAACTTCAGTCTATAATACTTGCAGAGGAGGATGTTATTTATTATTGAAAACTATAAACTCATGGTGGATTAAGCTTGTATAATGATGTATCTTTTTCCCCAGGGTGTCACAGTCCAGGTGTTAAAGCAGATAATCCAGGTCCAGGGATCTGCTATACAGGTACTCAGGTAAAACGCCAAGTAAAATGAGTGTGCTTGCTGAGAAAGTAAGCAAGATGTCTAAATGAAGGGTCTTAGTCACAAAAGGAGGAACTACAAGACAGGAGAGGCAGTGGTCAGACAGAGGAATAAAACCTAGAGTCAAGCTAAAGCTATTTCAATGCATGTTTTCATGTGCCCAGATACACAGGCAACAAGGTAAAGGAACAATGAGAAGTACAGAATACATAAATAAGCAAATCTAATTATATTTACATAAACTTGTAGGTATATGGAATTTCTCAGGAAAGATTAAAAAGAAACTGAAGTAGAACTGGGGGAGAAGAGAGACTTCATTTTATATTCTATACCATTTAATTTTGTATATAGTAATGTTATTATTATAAACTATTTTACTTTTTATGTAATAAGAGAGCAGATATAAAATGACCAGGGCAGCAATGTAGAAAGATAGCAAGCTTAAAAGATAATAGATTTAAAAAAAAATAATGCTGGGAGATAACAGGATAATATACATGCACATACATATGTGCTTATGTATAATTTTTATTTTTTGCAATACTATGGACTGAACTCACTTGAATGTCACCAACCCTTCTATTTTTATTTTGAAGATAGGGTTTTACATAACTGTGCCTGGGTTGGCCTTGAACCCAAATTCTACTGCCTCCTAACTTCCCAAGTAACTGGGATACAGTTATGTGCCACTAAGACTAGAAATGAAGTACCTATTTTGAGGATAACACCTTATATTATACAAAGTCAACTGGTGATAACTATCTGAGTGAAGGTGTGGCTCAAATGGTAGAGGACCTACCTGTTAAGAGTGAGGCCTAAGTTCAAACCCCAGTACTGATATTCCAAATTATTTTCAATGGTTGAAACAGATAAGCTTTCAAAAAAAGAAGGCTGCTGGGTGCCAGTGTCTCACACCCGTAATCCTAGCTCCTCAGGAGGCTGAAATGTGAGGATCGAGGTTCAAGCCAGCCGTGGGCAGGAAAGTCCATGAAACTCTTATCGCAATTAAGCACCTGAAAACTGGAAGTGACATTGTGGCTTAAAACTGTAGAGCACTAGTCTTGTGCAAAAAAACTCAGGGACAGCGCCTAGGCCCAGATTCAATTCTGATGACTGTCAAAAAACAAACAAACCAAAACACTAGGGAAGAGCAAGTAAATCTATAGATACTGCTAAAAAATAAATGGGAACAAACAGAAAAAGTTGGGACAACTTTTTTTTTTTTGGGGGGGGGAGGGTGAGGTCGCGGGGCCTGAACTCTGGGCCTGGGCACTGTCCCTCAGCTCTTCAGCTCAAGGCTAGCGCTCTACCACTTGAGCCACAGTGCCACTTCCAGCTTTTTTCTTTTTGCTTATGTGGTGCTGAGGAATCGAACCCAGGGCCTTGACCATGCAAGGCAAGCGCTCTACCACTGAGCCACCTTCCCAGCCCCATGGGACAACTTTTTATAAAAAAGTTAAGTGGCTGGTCATCCTATAAGATGTACATGGAAGGCGGGGGGAAAAAGATGTCTGAATATTGTCCTTTATGTGACTTCTTTATCACTTGTAACACTAGTTGTATAAAAATTTCTACAGGACAGACTTAACAACATGTAATAAGAAGAAAAAGTATTCCTTTAAACTGTAGCTTTAAGAAACTATTCACGGATACAAAAGAAATAAACTGTCCCTTACCTTGAAGAGATAAGTTATCCTAGGCATTTCTTAAAAAAAAAAAAAAATCCAAAAAGTCAAAATCTAACACTGTCTAGGAAGCTAAAATCTGAAGGATCAAGGTAGATGCCAGCCTGGGCAGGAAATTTCACTAGATTCTACTCCAAAATATCCAGCAAAAAATAGATCTAGAGGTATGCTCAAGTGGTGGAACACTTGTCTAGCAAGCAATTCAAATCCAGTACTATAAAAAAAGACAACAACAAACAACAACAAAAACCTGTTACTAAAGAATTTTTATGTAAAATTAAATACAAACCTTGTATGGTGAGGGTTCAATTCTTTCCCCAAATAATACCTGACCAAGATTTTCAGATGGGCGTTTTCCTTCTGAAGCTTGGCAAAAATCAAACCTGAGAAAAGAATATTCAAATTTTAAAAAGAAAAACAATGAAATATGAATCATATGGCTAACATTGAAAGATTAGCTATATAAGAAATATTTTTATGCTGGGCGCCAGTGGCTCACGCCTGTAATCCTAGCTACTCAGGAGGCTGAGATCTGAGGAACCCGGTTCAAAGCCAGGCTGGGCAGGAAAGTCCATGAAACTCTTATCTCCAATAAACCACCAGAAAACAAGAAGTGGCGCTGTAGCTCAAGTGGTAGAGCGCTAGCCTTGAGTTGAAGAGCTGAGGGACAGCGCTCAGGCCCAGAGTTCAAGTCCCATGACTGACAAAAAAAAAAAAAAAATTATAGCAAAGTCCCATATACCACAACTTCCCCCAAACAAAACATTATAGATTATTCCTCAGAATAAGCTCATGTCTAAATAATACTTTTAAAAAATATTTTATTGAAATGGAAATTAGAGGATTTTAACGAAAATCAACAAGTTATACTTTACTTTTCCTCACACCAGTTATAAAATCATTTACAATTTTATTCTCCAAGCAAATTTATAGAGTATTCTCCCACCAGTTTTTGGTGTCAGTCCTGAAGCTTGAACACTGGGCCTGGGCACTTCCTCAAGCTTTTATGCTCACAGGCTAGTGCTCTACTACGTGAGCCACAGCTCTACTTTTGGCTTTTTGGTGGTTTATTAGAGATAAAGAGTCTCATAAGGGGCTAGGAAGGTGGCTCAGCAGTAGAGTGCTTGTCTCTCATGCATGAGGCCCTGGGTTCAATCCCTCAACACCACATAAACAGAAAAAGCTGGAAGCTGGTTCTGTGGCTTGAACTGAAGAGCTCAGGAATAGTGCCCAGGGCTACAGTTTAAGCCCCACAACCAGCCAAAAAAAAACAAACCAAAACAAAACAAAAAACAAAAAACCTCTCATGAATTTCAGGCTGGCTTTGAACTGTGACCCTCAGATCTCAGACTCTTGCAGACATGAAGCACAGGTACCTGCTGGCACTCCTTTTGTTATGACTTTCTATGCCAAGTCTTTCTGTTGAAATAACATTTCAAGCCAGGTGCCAGTGGCTCACAGCTGTAATCCTAGCTACCCAAGAGGCTGAGATCTGGGGATCACAGTTCAAAGCCAGTTTGTTCATAGCCAGGAAAGTCTATGAGACTCTCTCTCTCTCTCTGCCAACATGGAGCTGTTGCTCAAGTGGTAGAGCACTGATCTTGAGCACAAAAATCTCAGGAATAATACCCAAGCCCAGAATTCAAGCATAGAACCAGAACCAAGAAAAAAAACAAAAACAAAACAAAAAACCATTTCAGGAAGATGTATCAAGTTTACCTGTACTACCCTGCACCACCCTAGGATACTGGCTACCATGCCTCAGTAAAAGCAGCTCAGCTAGAAAGACCCTCTGGGAATTCAACAGGTAGAGAAGCATGTTCAGCCAACTACATGGTTCTCTCCCTGCAATCTTCTTGTATTACCAATGCACTTTAAGTTTTGTATTTCAGTGTTACAGTCTAATTTCAACTTTGCCATAAAAAACTAAAGGGCAGCTTTGTGGTCACCCTGAAATGACATTAGGAGTTATAGGTAAAGGCCAGTACAGTAATGACAACAGAATACTGAGATTCCTAAGAGGAAAGCAAATCTCAAGAGCAATAAAATTGGGGCTGGACTCCCCAAAGGTACATCTCTACCTCTTGGATATAAGAAAATCCACTGAGTTTTCTGAAAAGAATATCCGCAAAAATTCAAATAGGAATGGTTCTTTATTTTGGTAGATAAAAATTAGAAAGAGCATTTAAGATTACAAGAGTGATATAAATTACAGGCCTTCCATTCATAAATTTTGTATTTTCTTCTTCATATACGCTCTTATAGGGTAGTCTTTTTGTGTATATATTTTTTCTATGGCAAATACATATTTTGTTAAAATTCTTAAGCAGCAAATAAACTGGAAGCTAACTAACATTTAGAAACTGTTTCATAGCTGGCTGCTGGTGGCTCATGTCTATAATCCTAGCTACTCAGGAGGCTGAGATCTGAGGATCGTGGTTCAAAGCCAGCCCGGAAAGGAAAGTCCATGAGACTCTTTATTTTTAGTAAACCACTAGAAAACTGGAAGTGGCGCTGTGGCTCAAGTGGTAGAGTGCTAGCCTTGAGCTGAGAGCGCAGGGACAGCACCCAAGCCCACAGTTCAAACCCCACGACCGACCAAAAAAACAAAACAAAACAAAACCACCACATATAAATTTATCCCTAACTCTAGAGAGAAAACAAAAAGTTCTAAATGCACAAAATCCTGAGACGCATAAAATTCATGTAAAAAACATGCCAAAAACTTACGCTGTATATTCATAAGGGAGAACAGATTCCACCGAATCAAGCCTGTTCACAAATAACTCTATTTCAGCCTGAAAATGAGAAAAGAGAATCATAATCAAACATAAAAAATATTAGAGGTAGACAAGTCATGTTTGGAACTGAAAAATATTGACAAACTGAAATGTGAAGATTCATAATTTGCAACCAATTTTAAGCTGTCCTCTTTAATGTATGTATATACATTAAAAATATACCAAAGTAACTTTCAGAGTTATATGTTTCCAATGTTTTCTAAATCATCTAAAAGCATTTATTACAGTAATATATTACAGTAATATATATATTTTTTTACCCTGTTATTATAAAGGTAATGTACAGAGGGATTACAATAACATGAGTCAGGTAGTTAGTTTACCTGAATAGTTCACTGCTATTTTTTATTGTACAGTTCACTTTTCATTGGTGTTAAGTGAGCTCCACTGTTGCACTTTTTCACCTTTCCCCTTGAATTCTATGCACTCCTTCACACCCTCCAGAAGATATACACGTGAATATACCATACATAAAGAATAGACAGTCATCAACAGAATAAAAATTGAAAACAGAGATCTCATTTCCAAATCTTGGAGTTTCAATATATACATATTATTTTATTTATTTATTTTTGTTAGTCGTGGGGCTTGAATTCTGGGCCTGGGCATTGTCCCTGAGCTCTTTGGCTTAAGGTAAGTGATTTACCACTCTTGAGCCACAGTGCCACTTCTGGTTTTCTGGTGGTTACCTGGAGACAAGAGTCTCATGGACTTTTCTGCTCCAGCTGGCTATTGTGAATAGTGCAGCAATGAACATGGATATGGAGATGTCTTTATAATATCCTGGTTCATGATGTTCTGGGTAGATGCTCTAGAGTATGGCTGGGTCATAGGAAAGATCTATGTTTAGTTTTTTGAGCAACCTCCAGATTGCTGTCCAGAGTTTATATTCTCACCAACAGTGTAATAGGGTTCCTCTGTCCCCAAATCCCTACCAACATTTGTTGTTGTTCGAATTCACAATGTTAATTGGGTTGAGAATCTGAGTTGTTTTGATTTGCATTTCTTTTATGATCAGGGATGATGATGGTGTGTGTGTGATGGTGTATGTGTGATGGTGTGTGTGTGTTTCCTCTTTAGTACTGGGGTTGAACCCAAGACACTGTACTTGCTAAGCAAATGCATTTTTTAAAAACTAGTTTCCAAGTTCAATATTTCGTTCTATGAAGCAAAAATAATTTATATTTTAAAACATTTTTTAACCTTCACTGCAACCAAGAAATGCTGCCAAGTTTTGGTCAGAAATTTCTAAATCAACTGTACTATAAATACAATTACATGAGCATGTACACTCATAAGTGCCAAGCACTCACAGTGCTACATGGTCCAACTTTGGAGGGAAGCCCTGATCAATTTGAGAATGCTGCACATCAAGGTAGTAACACTGAAGATATTCACAATGAATAGATCAAGTTCAACAATGAGGGGGTGAAAAGCAGTATCAATTTCCTGGAAACATTTCTTCTAGGTATAGATCAACTGTTACCCAACTTCTCAAATGGAGTTTGTTGATATTCACAACAGAATTCACTAACTGAAGAAGTTAATAGCTGATTTGTGCCCTGAAATACTTTTGGGGCTAACTAAAAAAAAAAAATCATTAAATAGGAGCTGCTGACCAGGACAAGTGGTTTTTGTTTTTGTTTTTGGCCAGTGGTGGGGCTTGAACTCTGGGCTTGGGCACTGTCCCTGCTTCTCTTCAGCTCAAGGTGAGCACTCTACCACTTAAGCCACAGCGCCACTTCTGGCTTTCTAGTGGTTTACTGGAGATAAGAGTCTCAAGTACTATCCTGCCTCGGCTGGCTTTAACCACAATCCTCAGATCTCAGCCTCCTGAGTAGCTAAGATTACAGGCATGAGCCACCAATGCCCGGCAGGACAAGTATTTTTTTTTTTACAGAGTTAAACTCCTGTGGCTATTTCTGGACTTGATCAGGAGACTCCCTGAAATGTCATAAAAGCCACATCTATCATGTTGATTTCACTAACTTGTGTTGTCACCAGTCTTCAATACCAAAAATCAAGAGGAGATATTCTAGTGCTAGTTACTAATTGTAAGGTTTTTGTCAAATTACTTAACACCTGAGTTTCCCCACAAATGCTTGTTTCCTTATCTTCAAAATGGAGATCACAATATTCATCTCCTAGGGATATGCAGATTACATATTAGCTTTATAAAGTACTCCAAACAGTGCCTAACACATCAGATAGTAAATACTTGTTAAACCAAAAAGTAAAAGAACAAGGAAAGTGGACACTGCAGTGCTTACCAATTACACTGTGTATCCAATATTCATGATTTACAATGAAAGACATCAGCTTTTGTATATACTTGCCCATGAACATCCTACAATTCTACTCAAATGGAATTACAACCCATTTGCTATACTCTTGCCTTCAACACACAAAAAAACAGTGTCTCTTGGCATGAAATATTCCAGACTGTATTACTGGTCATTTTAGCTAAAAAGATGATGGGACAAGACACTCCAGCATTACAGCACACATGAATAATTAACACAAATACATATAACTGTTGTGAAGGCAAAATTCCCAGTTGACAGTCTATTCTGCCTAAATAATTTTCACTAATTAGAAGGGTGACACTGCTATGAAGATATATCAGAATTCAAACATTCTATTTAACATACCTTAATGAATGCAGAAAGACCTCTAAGAAGCTAATCTGGTTCACATTTCTAGGTGTTTTTTTTTCCAAATAAGGAATTGAACTACTTATTAAATTCTATACAACTCATGTTTTCAGTTCACAAAAGCTAGATCACTCTAGCTGCAAATAGGCATATATTTACAAACTTTGTTTTTGGAAGTTGGGCTGTCTGGGCTTAAATGCTTACTGACATCAGTTGGCCAAGGTTACTTACTTCCCTTTATTTCAAAATTCTTATCTAGAATGGAGGAAATAATCCCAATTTCAAGCAGTTTTGAGATACCTGAGGCTGAGTGTGATGGCTCATACTTGTAATCCCAGCTATTCAGAAGGTGGAGATGGAGAGGATTGTCATCTGAGACCCATCAGGCAAAAACTTTAGACTTTATATGACTAACAGCCAAAACAAAAAACTGAGCTGACTCAAGAGGACGCTTGCTCGCCTAGACAACAGAGGCATCTTGAGTTTAAATACCAACAGTCCCCCAAACAGAAAGAATAAGGCCTGGCCCAGGGTACTTTGTGCTTACAGCAGTCCAACAGATAAAGATGTTCTTCACCTGTGCTGTTGAGTATGGCAAGACTAGCCACACGTAGCTACTGGGCACCTAGAAAGTAGTAGGCACTCAAGATGTGGTTAATGAGGCTGAAGAACTGAATTTTAACTTTTGTTTAATTTTAGTTAAATTTAAGTAATCACAGTGCTGAAAATGGATAACACAGAAAGAGGAAGAACACCATGCTGCTGAGTACCATTTTTATAATACATCTTAACATTTTTACTATAGCCACCATAATCTATTTCTGAAAATAACCCTAGTATCTACCCAGGGGTTTCAAACTTTTTCTTTCTTTCTTTTTTTTTTTTGG